TCTGAACCTCACTGGGAAAGTTTTCTTCATATTCATCCCAGACACCATGACTAAAGATTTCTCTGAGGAACTCTTTGAATTTCCTGTCCACACTTTGTCCCCCCAAATCATTTCCTGAGGCCTTGTGCAGCTCCTTCAGGGCTCCTCCATCCAGGACTTCATGAACTGTGATGTCGATGGTTCCACCTGAAACACACAGGAAGTGATGAATGCTGACTTCCTGCAGCAGCAGACAGATGTTTCCAGCGTGTCTGTGGATGAATGTTTGTGAGTGTAACAGAGTCACATACAGTACCTCCACAGTCCACCACTATGTACTGTGTTCCTGGACACTGATCCAGTGATCGTCCATCATGGTTCTGAGTGATGAAGCCATCAGCTGGCAGCTTCTTACACCAGGCTGAGGCTGCCTCTGGTTCCAGTGCGATGATCAGGTGGTGTTGAGTTCCTTCTCTAACGATTTCTGCCTGCAAGTGAAAGAAAACTGAATCCTCTGAACATTTCAGGATCTCAGAGCTCTCTTAATAAATGATGTTACCTGAGTCGCAGCTTCTCTCATGAACTGCTTTGCTGAAGGATCCCAGATGGCAGGTACAGTCAGCACCCAGGTGAAGTCAGAGGCTATGAACTTCCTCCCTGCTGTGTTTCCTGCGATGGTTCTCAGAGCGTCGTCCTTTAGGTACCTCAGAGCTTCAGTGAACACCTTCAAGGCCTTCATTGACTTCCCGTTTGCAGCTTTAATCTCCACATCTCTGCTGAGTTTCTGTAGATGATGGTAGTGTGGATACACACAGTTATCAGTTTAGTGTTATTAACCATAAACCTTTGTGGACTAATGTCAGGTCGCAAACACATAGATGTTCATCTGATGTCCCACAGAGCAGACAGGCTTCATTAGTTCAAAGTGTGAGACGGTCGTTAGAGATCTTCATGAGTCTGTTTGTTCCTCTGGTTCATTAAGTTTCGTCTCCACTGACGTTTGTATGAATAACACAACCTATAATAACCTTTATGGTGTCGCTGCAGGCTGAATTCAAACGTTAACACATCTGTGAGTCTTTTTCTTGCTGCACTAACAAAACTTTTACTGCAGCTTTCTAACATTTATCTGCTGAATCAGTGTTTTCAGCTCAGACGTGTGTGTGGACTGAATGGACTCTTCAGTGGAGTTTTTATAACAGACATGTTCAACCGTCTCATTCACATGAGTGTAATCTTCAGCAGAATATTAAGGTTCAGTGATTTTTACTTACTTTTCCATAGAGCGCCATCTTGAAGTTTTCAAAGAAGTAGCTTTTCCTTGCTTCTTCTCCTCGCATTTTGACATACACAATTTTAGCTTTATAACCAAACTTGATAAATTCTTTGTCTTCATTGAACAGAATACAGGTTGGAGTCTTTGGAGTCTCCAGTCCAAAGTCTCTACCCCACCTCCTCATCTGGGGATCTATTTCTGCCCCTTTGGGTGTCAAACTGAAGACATATCCAGTGTATGCAGTGCCAAAGTCTATGGCTATGATAAAGTCATGCATTGTAGAAACTGGTCCAACAAGTCAAGGAGAGGAGAGCAGTCAGAATGAGCAACAGTCACTGTGGATTTATTGTTTTTCTTCCTGTAAGCCCCGCCCCCTGTTCTTGTTTCACTTTGTTTTTCTTCACTCATTTCTTTCAAGTTTGTCTTTGTATAAAACGTCAAACGATCGAATGTGTAAAACT